TATTTAAGCTGCTGGATAAAAGTGTGAATGTAGTCACATCTATCCATAATATAAATGTGTGTTTCAATGTTGCCTGCAGATGTCCAGCAGATGTTGTTACTTAAAGAAGAGAGCTCAAGTCATGATCAGCAGGATTTGGTCCTCCTCCACATAAAGGAGGAAGAGGAAGAACTCTTGACCAGCCAGGAGGGAGAGCAGCTTCGTGGTCTACAGAAAGCTGATATCACCAGTTTCCCCATCACTGCTGTTTGTGTAAAGAATGAAGATGATGAAGAGAAACCTCACCTCCTACATTTTCATCAAACACCAGCTGAAGAAAACAGAGAAGCCGAGCCTTCAACCAGCAGCTCAGTCAAACAGATTAAAGCAGAAGGTGATGGAAAGGACTACAAAGAGCCAGAACCAGCCACAAACCCGAATCCAAATAATAATTTACAACCCAATATTAGTGTAAAACGTTCAGACTTGTATGAAGCTGATGATTGGCAGAAACCCCTGACAGAACCTGAACCTGAAAGTGAAGATAGTGAAGAGTCAGGTACAAATAGTGATGCCAAAAAGCCCTTTATCTGTTTTGAGTGTGGTAAGCAGTTTCTCCATGACTGGTCACTTCAGAGACACATCAGACTGAAGTCAGGGAAAAGAGCTTCAAACTGCGATGTCGGTGACAAAAGCTCTGGAGTGAACCAAAATGCAGATTCACAGGGGACAGTTCAAACAAAAGAGAAACCATTTGGCTGTGATGTTTGTGGACAAAGGTTTCAGCTGAATGTGAATCTTAAGGTGCACATGAAAGTCCACACTGGAGAGAAACCATTTAGTTGCAATATCTGTGAAAGAAAATTTAGACATCAGTGTAACCTTAAGGCACATGTGAGAATTCACACCGGAGAGAAACCATTTGGCTGTCGCCTGTGTGATAAAAAGTTTACACAGAGTGTACATTTAAAGACGCACATGAGAAGCCACACGGGAGAGAAGCTATTTTTTTGTGACGTCTGTAGTAAAAGCTTTTCACGACTGAGGATTCTGAAATCGCACAAGAGAGTCCACACAGGAGAGAAACCATTCGACTGTGATGTTTGTCATAAAAGATTTTCACAACTAGGTGATCTAAAGAGACACAAACGCGTCCACACGGGAGAGAAACCGTTCAGCTGTAGTGTTTGTGGTAAAAGATTTGCACAGAGGATGCATTTCAAGACACACATGAGAATCCACACAGGAGAGAGACCTTTCGGTTGTGATGTTTGTGGCAAGAGCTTTAACTGTAAGAGAAATCTGAAGACACACATCAGAGTCCACACGGGAGAAAAGCCATTTGGTTGTAATGTTTGTAATAAAAGATTTTCACAGCCAGGAATTTTAAAGAGACACATGAACATCCACACAGAAGTTAGGAAATTTGTACCCGGTAAATCAAGAGGAGTCTATTTGAGGTTGCTCAAATCTAAACCAGCCACATCAGAAATGGAGCAGCTAGCCATCAGAAACAGACAAGGTAAGGCCTTAACTTTCCTTATACTCTTGGTTAAATACCATTTAAATAACAATTTCTCCCAGTGCTGTTTCTTTAATGTATGACAGCACTTTCTTCAGGAAGGCTCAGTACCATGGTAATTTTTCCAGTGTCAGTGCCATTTAAGGTTTGGGACTGAGACCTAATTGAATCATAAATCCAAAGGGAATGGATTCATAAGTCAGATTAATGTGGATGTCAATGGAACCACCAGTGAGACACAGTTTAGAAAAAGGCCAGCAGTTAAAATAAGATTAACGATGTGCCTGTGATTCTGTGTGGGCCCAGAAACATGTTTTCACAGGAGGAAATGACGTTTCAGTGTTAAGAAACCTTTTGCCAATTTTTAAATATGAGCAAACCCTAATGACAACAACGGCAGCACTTACTCTACAGTAAAATTTACACAGTAAAATTTGCCATGTCTGCCAAACTGATTTCATATTTTAAAATGCACAATAAAACAGAACAGCAGATTTACATTTTTACCTGTAGTCTGAGATGCCTTCATAGCCTACACAACAAATTTAAGGGTAAACAACCAAATTGAAACAATATCATGGACCCATTTGTATGATTACAAACACAAATGCATAGTATGCATGTAGCCACACTTGTAAAAGTGCAGAAATATCCATTTTTATATCCATCTAATAATGCAAAGCACCACTCAAAGCACAGCTACATTTAATACATTCATAAAGTGCTTCCCATCTGTGGCCAGGTTATAATCCCCAGTTAACCTAACCTGCATGGGTTCAGATTTTTTATCCTTCTTTTTCATTTTATTTTGTATCTTGTTCTGAACGCAGCCTTCTGATACCACCAGGTGCAGGTGATGTCCTTAAAACAATTTAAAAAAAGATAGTGGTATTTTCATTTGCAATTTGTATGTTTGCAGATGGCATTGTGATCATTGTGAGAGTAGCTACCAGGCAGAAGAGAGCATGGAGTGGTGGTCTTATGCTCTGAATATATATATAATGAAAGGAATGTGTGAATAAGAAGGAGACATGGAAAGGTGAACCTGCAATGAGCACAGGTATTAAAGATAGATGAGTTTAAATACCTGGGGTCAGCCATCCAAAGGTGAAGAAGAGAGTGCAGGCAGGGTGGAGTGGTTGAAGGCAAGTGTCAGGGGTGATTTGTGATGGAAGTATTATTTGGAGATGGTGGGACTGACAAAAAGGTGGTAGACAGTGGAGGGATAGTGGATAAGCTGGACAAAGGATGCTGAAGATGGAGCTGCCAGGCAGGTGCAAAAGAGGAAGACCACAGGGGAGGTGAAGGAGGATGTGCAGAGGGGGTGATGTGACAGAGAAGGATGCTGGGATAGGGTGAGATGATCTTCCATGCACCCCTAAAGGGAGCAGCTGGAAGAAGAAGAAAAAAAGAAAATTGTAATAAAATATTTATTTACAAATGCATTTGATGCTATGTGATCCAAAGTTTGTTATAATTTGTAATCCAACAATGATGACTAGCTGATTAAAAGACAACTGGTGGAACCAGGGAAAAAGACTTGGTCCAGTTTTGTTGTTAAAATCCACAAAATAGATCAGCAACAATTTGTTGTTCATTTTATTTGATATATTAAAGCTGCTGAGGATATGTGTACTTACACCAGGTCTCCATAATGTGCATTTGTTTGAATGTGTCCTGCAGCTATCCAGGTTGATGAAGGTGTTTCCTCAAACCCCAGTCTGGAGCAGAAGGACCCAGACCTCCTTCACATGAAGGAGAAACAAGCGAAACTCATCACCAGTCAAGAAGGAGAGCAGCTTAATGGTTTGAAGGAGGCCAGCCTCTCACAGCTTCATCAAAGACTGACCAAGGACCACTGCGAGGCAGATGTTCCATTCTTTAGCTGCTCTGCGTGTGATAAACAATACCTCTACAAGCGATCTCTTCAGAGGCACAAGAAAAGTCATTCAGCAGAAAACTCTGCCAGCTGTTTGGTTAATAAGAAAGCTTCCAGACTGGAGGAAAATGTAGTTGACACAAGCAAGAAAATATTTGGATGTGATATTTGCGAACAGAGATTTCATCAAAAATCCCATCTTAAGACTCACATGAGAATTCACACAGGAGAGAAACCCTTTAGTTGTAATATTTGTGGAAACATATTTAGACATCAGTACAGTCTCGACAGACACATAAGAGTCCACACAGGAGAGAAACCCTTTGCTTGTGATGTTTGCAGTAAAGGTTTTTCACATCTGTGGGATCTGAAAAGACACAAAAGTGTTCACACAAAGAGCCTTCCACCCGAGGAACCGAAAGATCTTGATAAGGTGGCCCCTATTTCACCATCAGCTATATCAGAATTAGTGCAGACACAAGTCAAGAAGGATGTAGGTAAGTGAGATATTTGTGTTTGCTGCAGATTAAAGAAATGTAAACTATTTCCACAAAACTGTGTAATAACTGCTTTGTCTATTCTTGCTGTTACATTACTGGCAAAGATTACAAAGGGTTACTAACTTTTGCAAGATTAATTTTTGGATTCCTGCTTCCTGTTGTTATGATAAAATTACCTCCTACTATAAGTCCTCCTTAAAGAACATCTTACCAAACTACCAGTTTAAAAGTGTTAATAAGGTGGCGACCGTGGCTCAGGGGGTTGGGAAGCGTATCTGTAACCGGAAGGTTGCCGGTTCGATCCCCGGGCTCTCTGTCCTGGTCGTTGTGTCCTTGGGCAAGACACTTTACCCTACCGTCTACTGGTGTTGGCCAGAGGGGCCGATGGCGCGATATGGCAGCCTCGCCTCTGTCAGTCTGCCCCAGGGCAGCTGTGGCTACAACCGTAGCTTGCCTCCACCAGTGTGTGAATGTGAGAGTGAATGAATAGTGGCATTGTAAAGCGCTTTGGGTGCCTTGAAAAGCGCTATATAAATCCAATCCATTATTATTATTATTATTAATAAGATCTGTTAAAAACATTTGCAAACTGTGCTGAAAATTAGGCTTAAAAAAACCCTTTTTTGTATGGAAGTTAAACCTTCTTCTCCCAAAGAGTCATTGGGTGTCTCGCTCTCTTATATTGTCTATTATTATTTGAAATATTACAATCTTTAAAAAGTTCTTAAATTATACAGGTGTGTGTAAACAAGTTAATAGCACTTTACACTTAGTAATATTTATACCTTTTATTTATCTGCTTTGTTGTATTGCCAGAATACAGATAATTTCTTCTAAACAATTATGGAAAGATGGGAAGTCTGGGCTTCTCTGCTCAGACTGCTGCCCCGGTGTTCAAACCAGCCGTGGAAAATAATGGATAGATATTATACAATATTATATTAGAAAAGAAAAAATAGAGATACCAATTATGGTTAACCCAGATGATGACCAATATAAAATTATTAAGATAGAATTAATGAAATTGATTTAAAAGAGCCTAGGGCTAATAAGATCAGAAAAAACATTTATTAGGGGTATTTTAAAATGTTCAAACTCTGTTTCATAAAGGCATGGTGTCATGTATCGCACACACATTGATAAATATATATTTATATTCCATCTCTGCATCCATTTTCTTCCAGTTATCCTTATTTTCCTCAAATATAAAGCTATTGCTTTTGTCATGTGACCCAGTGGTTCAACTTCTATTGTCAAATGTACTCTTAACTGGCTAACTAATAACTGACCTGTCTTTAACCAGCAAGTTAGAGTACATTTAATAATAGATCTTGAACTGAGGATGGTTCAAGATGGTTCACTGTTCCCTGCAGATGTCCAGCATATGTTGCCAGTTAAAGAAGGGCTTCCTTGGACTCCAGGTTTGGACCAGCAGGACCCAGACCCACTCCACATAAAGGAGGAAGAGGTGGGACAGAAGAGTGACAGAAGAGATGCTCAAACCATCTCAGACTCACCTCTCTATTTTTGTCTCAGTCGGGTTTTTATGTACTTGATGTTATGTATTTCCATGTTAAA